ATTAAAATCTAAATCCGATACCTTACAACCTTTAAGGAGTAGAATACATCGATTGAAAATCAAACTAGTAAGAAGATTAAGAGCCTGTTTGGGAGCGATTTTGAGAATTGATTTTTTGACCGTTAGGAGAAAAGTGGGGTTCACCTGTGAGAGAAGAAGTCAAATACGACGGCTGGAATTGTGAAATAACGGTCAAAAAATCAATTTTTGGGGGAAAAAAATCACTCCCAAACAGGCTCTAAGATTTTAAGGACTGTCAATAGACTTGAGTTTTGCAATATAGGATTTGATCAATACTGCTGTAAACATGGAAATCTGAGGCATAGAACTGTGACCTAACTCCCCAACAAAATGGAATTACTAAAAGAGTAAACAGAACATTCTTGAAGGGATAAGATGCATGTAGATTAGTTCAGGCTTGTCAAAAATATTCTGGAAAAAGGCAAAAAAATTGCTTGCCACCTAATAAATAGATGTTCCTCTAGCTCCCTAAAAAACAAAGTTCTCGAGCATGTCTGGTCAGGATCAATGCTTGACTATTCGTACCTTAGAACTTTTAGATGTGTAGCTTAACCACATCATAGTGACTCCAACTTGTATCCTAGACCCTAAAGTGTGTCTTCTTAAGATATGGTGAGGGGGTTAAATGACATAGACCGTGGTTAGGGGATAAATGTTATAATAAGTAGGTTAGTGATCTTTAATTAAGATGATTTCCCATTCCTTGGTGACAAAATTGGAAGAAAAATAGTTTATATGATTTCATTATTACTGAAATTAACCTTGATAAGCAAGTTATTGATGATCGGACTTAGTTTAAGGTGAAACAACTTCAAACAAAGCCACGGATAATTGCAGATAATGAAATTTTGAATGATTATCAAGGCTTGAATCCTGTACATGAGCTGCATTATCAGCTAGCTAGGAGTAGATAAATGAGACAAATAAGATCTCTTTCCAGATTTCAGTATGCAGATTATGCATTTGCGCAGTTTGAAACTGATCATTCTGAAACAGAACCACCCTCTTATAAAGAAGATATATCTTGTAAGAAATCTGCTAAGTATCCTGCAGCAGCAATGGAAGATTAATGTATTCCCTACATAAGAATAATACCTAGAATTTAGTAGAAAAACCTATATATTGCAAACTTGTTGATTGTAAATAGGTTTACAAAATTAATGAGGATGAGCCGAAATCAAATGACAAGAGATATAAGGCAAAACTTGTAGTGAAAAGTTTTACACAAAAAGAAGGAATAGACTACATTGAATTTCTTCACCTGTTGTTATATATACTTCTATTAGAGTATTGCTTGCCATTGTAACTCAATTTGATTTAAAACTAGAACAATTTGATGTGAAGAATTTCTTCAAATATGGTTCCCCAGATGAAATCATATATATGACTCAGCCAAAAGAATTTGAAATGAAAAAGGAAAAAGAACTTAGTGTGTCTCTTGAAAAATCCTTGTATGGCTTAAAACAGGCTCGAAGGCAATGGTATAAAATATTCGATTATTTTGTACAGAGCATAAAATTCAAGAAATCTGAATATGATCCTTGTTTTATTTCAAAAGAGATCAAGAATTTGAATTCTTCTATCTCCTCTTATATGTTGATAACATGTTACTAATTGGTCAAAATTCTGTTACTCTCAGCTCTATAAAAGAAAAGTTGAAATTTAAGTTTGAAATGAAGGATTTAAGACCTACTAGAAAGATTTTAGGCATGAAAATAAATATGAACAGAATTAAAGAAAAATTATTTTTAACACAAAAAACTAATATTGAAAATGGGGTTAAAAATTTCTCCCTTTATGATACTAAGCTTGTTAGTTTACCTTTGTTTAGTTGTGTGAAATTATCTGTTGATCAATCACCTAAAATTGAAGATGAATTTAAAAGAATAATGGATTTGCCATATGCTACGCTGTTGGATCTATCATGTATGAAATGGTATGTTCTAGACTAGATATAGCTTATGTTGTAAGTGTGTTAAGCAAATTCATGAATAACCCGGGTGAGCTTCATTGGAAAGCTATGAAAAATTTGATTAAATACTTGAAAGGCACATGTCAATTAAGACTTATGTTTAAAATTGATAAAGATGGCTTTAAATTGATTGGCCATGTTGACTTTGATTTTGCTGGAAACTTAGTTAATAGGAAGTTTATAACTGCAGATTTTTATGTGATAGATAATACATGCATTATCTGAAAATCTCAACTTTGGAAATTGGTTGTTTCATCATCAAATGAAGCTGAATATATTGTTGCTACTAAGGCAGCAAACGAATGCTTATGGTTGAAAGGCTTATTAAATGAATTAGGACCCATGGAAAATCAGGTAAATGCTATGTTCTAGATAATCAAAGTGTCATTTTCTTGAGTAAAAATTCAGTTTTTAACGATAGGTTCAAAAATATAGATGTTAAATTTCATTTTATTAGAGATATAATTAAAAGAGGTGTCATTAAGCTGACCAAACTTTCGACTAAGATAAATCTTGCTGATGTAGGTACAGAGGTAATATCACTTAGTTAGTTCATTGATTCTCTGAGACAATTGAAACTTGAAATTTGCTAATTTTTCTTTTCTTTGTGAACAAGTAGTAAGAGCACGTGAAGTTGTGTTGATTAAGTTGGAATCCATTATAGTACAGTCACAAATTGTAACAAAGGTGAAGATCGTAAAAATTGGGTTGCTAAATTTTGTAAAGTCCAAATATGCGGGCTGTATGCTATCGGTTCTACTATAACTATGGCCCAAATTGATGATTCAATAAGCTGAAGAATCCAGAATTATGGTAAAAATGTTTTTGAAGAATCTAGAATTATGATAAAAATGTTTTTGTTAAACTCGCCTTTTAATTGAAAATGCACTTTTGTTGGATTACTGACATGGCTGGTCTTGCACTGTTGGATGATATAATTAGCTCTGTCTCATATAAAGT